CGTTTGAAATTTGAATGCTTTAAATTTCTTGGCAGTTTTTAAGGTGTTTTTTTTTTAAAATCAACTGTAAAATATTGGAGGGCCTTAGAAGGGTTTTGAAGCTCTTCCCACATAACCTTTCCATGTTCCATGCGGCATTTGTGGCCCTCCCCATTTTATCCTCCCAACAACCCTGTGAAGTAGGCTGAGAGGCAGTGACTGGCTCAAGGCCCCGCCCAGAGAGGTTGATGACTGAGTAGGGATTTGAACCCTGCTCTCCCAGGTCCTAGTCCAACACTCTTAACCACTACACCCCACTGGTAAGTAAGTGGTATAAACGACTAATATCAACCAGGATTAGCAGAGCAGGATTTACAGGGGTTAGGGAGGCATTTTATTTGAGCTCTTCACCTGGAGTGTTGCTCTGTCGTGGTGGTGTTGAACCCCGGCTGGAACGCAAGGCCTGTGCTTTGTCCTTAGAGCTGCCTGGATCGACAAATGCCGCCCTGACCTGCTCATTTCCGAGTCCACTTACGCCACGACCATTCGAGACTCCAAGCGCTGCAGGGAGAGGGACTTCCTGAAGAAGGTCCACGAAGCCATCGAACGAGGCGGGAAGGTACGACTATCAGCCTGCCTATCTGCTTCTAGGCTCCTCCGAGACACCCTGGCTGAAGTTTTCCAGTTAGCAGATCGGTCATAGCAGGCAAACTTCCCCTGAAAGAGACATTTCCCAGTTGTTACCACCTGTATCCTGTTTGTAATTTGTTAGCTGCTTTATTTAGCCAGAGTGACCCAAAGCAACTTAAGAACAACCAAGCCTAAAAACACAGCTACAAGGCAGGAGTTAAAGGCCTCACCCTATTAAAGGAGCCATCGTTCAAATTCAGGGCCAAAAGACCATGTCCTTGCCAGGTGCCTAAAATAGAGAAGGTTGGTGCCAGGTGTATCTCCCTGGGCAAGCAGGGGATAGTTTGCAGCTGCCATTTCCCAACTGAACCCTTTGTTTCCTCTCCCAAAGGTCCTTATCCCCGTATTTGCTCTCGGACGGGCTCAGGAGCTCTGCATTTTATTGGAGACTTTCTGGTAAGGATACAAGCCTCTTTCGCTCTCATTTAAAAAAATGACTTGCTGTGTCGATGCCTGAGGGGCTCCTTGCTTGTTGAAGAATGAAATCTCTCCCCCCCTGCCCCCGCCCGCCCAATATCTCATTGTCATCCTTATGCTCCCTTCTGCCCTTTCCTGGGCTTGTGAGCAAGTTGTGATCCTGGCAGCAGTGCAAATTACACGTCCTGGTGAGCCAGGAGCAGGGAACCCTTTTCAACCCGAGGTCCACGTTCCCTTCTGGGCAGCTTTCCAGGGGCCACATGCAAGTGGTGGGCAGGGACATAGGCAAAACATGGGCAGAGCAACCAGTGCAAATGTTAACTTCGTACTGTAGGCTTGTTTCTACACACATTCAAGCCCAGCTCACACCATCCAGGCAAGCAAGGGGCATGATCAGAATTCAAGGGCACATTCCAGCCAGGTGTTAAGCAGAGCTAGTTGGGGGGGGTGTTCTGCGGTGAGGGGGCATGGCCTGTGGAGCGTTCCAAGGGCCAGGTAAGAGAGGCCTGGAGGGCCACATTCAGCCCCCAGCCTTGATGCCCTCCCCTCTCCACTGTAAGCCATAGTGATGGATTCTCACTCCTTGGAGGTTTTTAAGCAGAGCTTGGACAGCCATCTGTCAGGGCTTCTTTAATTGTGACACCTGCATTGCAGGGGGTTGGCCTGGATGACCTTTGGGAATCTCTTCCAACTCTGCAATTCTATGAATGATTTGCGTGAACACAGCAGTAGCTCCGTGCTAGTGAGCAAAAGCAACAAACTACGGTGCTCTGCATTCCGTCCAAACCAGGGATCTCTGGTTCGGAAATAACACTAAGCCACGGTTCATAGCTATTTGCTCCTGCTCACCAGCGGGAGAGGAGCACAGCAGCAGTGGCCTGTGCATTCCTGGTAAACCATCAAACCGTAGCTTACCATATTGTGCAACCCAGTGTGGTCACAAGTGCTGTTTTCAGCTTCCTGAGAATGTCAAGTTTCCAGTTGTTTTTTTAAAGCAAACCAACCTCGAATCACTATCCCTTGTCATGATGAAAATATGCTTCAAAATGAATGAGAGTTACAGGCCAAGACTTCAGAAGCCAGAGCGCTGTTTATAGAGGGCGGCTAAATGAATCTTTTTCCCCCACTGCCACCGCTGTCATTTCCTCCCAAGGGAACGAATGAACTTGAAGGCTCCCATCTACTTCTCGACGGGGCTGACGGAGAAGGCCAACCACTATTACAAGCTCTTCATCACGTGGACCAACCAGAAGATCCGGAAGACGTTTGTCCAGAGGAACATGTTTGAGTTCAAGCACATCAAGGCCTTTGACCGGGCCTTCGCTGACAACCCAGGGCCAATGGTACGTGTGGAGGGAGGTGCGTGTGTGTGACGGGGGGGCGGGCTTCATTTAATCATTTAAGTATTTATACCCTGGTCTTCTAGTGCAAATACACCTTTCAAGGCTGTTTATGACAGGGGCAGTCAACCTTTTTCTGTAGAGAACTGCAGGCAGTAGTAGAAAGAATCAGAGGAAAACAGTGGGTTGGCCACTCCTTTTCTCTCACTCTCGCACACAGATACATACCCTGTTCTCTCTCTGACATGCCATTTTCTGTTTCCACCCCCTCCTTTTTTCTGCTGAGGTCCACAGCTTGCTCACCTGTGCCTTACACCACCACGGTACAATTTCATAAACAATGACATGGGCCTTCACCCCTGCTTTTCCTTCCTGCCCCAGTGGTCTGCCAGGAAAGGGTCAGATAGCCACTTAAAGGGTCAGCAGTCCATGGCTGGAAGATGCACTTGTAGGGAGGGAACCAGGCAGGTGATGGTGGGTCAGGGCCAAGTCACTCAGGTTCCATTTTGACCCTTCCTGAAAATGCCATCTTGGATTAGATAAGAACCCGGTTTCCCTTTTCTCTTCCTAAGGTTGTGTTTGCCACACCAGGAATGCTTCATGCTGGACAGTCCCTCCAGATCTTCAAGAAATGGGCCGGCAACGAGAAGAACATGGTACGAAAACGCTCTTGACGGATACAGGTCTTCTCCTCCTCCTCATGGCCGTGGTTTAAGTCTGGAATCCCAAGCTTTTGGGCGCCACAACCCCCTTGGTTCCATAAACTGATGCCCAGTGCCCCCTGCCCTATAAAAAGCATTGTTCAGAATAGTGGTGTGCACAACACACTAGGAAAGGTAGTAGCACAATAAAATGTGCAGTTAATTGCACATTTATTCAAAGCCCAATTAACATTGTTTTGTTTAATTAATTCAACAACATTGATTAATTTGACCCAGTGATACCAGCTTTTCAAAGTCAGATAGTCATTGACACCCCAGCATCATAAGAACTCTGCAATATCCTTTAGTTTCTTTCAGCGATGGCAGCCAGAGCTGGACCTCCTCTATGCTCACTGAAGAAAGTGATGCAATCAGTCTTGGTTCCCTAATGCATCCTTTTGCCAACCTGGTGCCCTCCAGCCCCAGCCAACACATTCCATTCTAGAATTGCAGCCCAGAACATCTGGAGGGCACCAGGTTGGCCAGGGCTGCCTGGACACTTGTGCCTGTGCAGTATCTGTGTGCTTGTGAAGATGCTTTTCTAAGCGTACACTTCCAACCAACACCTGAAGAGGCATGTCTAATAATCTAATACATAAAGTGTCGGCTAGATGTGAACACCTGCAGGTCCATACCAGCAGAACGCTAAGGTGATGGAGGAGACTGTAGCACACCAGGCTGCGCATAGTTGTGTGCATGCCATTTTTCACACACTCCTCCATGTTTAAAAGAAGCAAACAAAACTTTCCTGCTTTTCAGGCAATTCTGCTCCTGCTCAGAGAGCAGAATTGAACTTAGTGGACGTGACTCATTTAGGTCTACTTAGTGGATATGACTCGCTTAGGTCTACTAATTTGATCTGCTTTCAGCAGGGCTTAGTTTGACAACCCCAAAGCAATCCTTCTGGTTTGGGTTGTTGCTTTTTTAAGTACCAGAAATTTGAGATTTTTCTGGAATGACAGCTTCCTAAGAGAGAATTTGTGGGTGGAAATTTCAGCAATTCTAAGAACTGACCAGGTGTGTCGTACTCAAATATATTTGCGTATGAATTTTGTTGGTAGCCCTTTAGGAAAGACTGAAGTCCTGGTGTGTTCCTTTTTATAATTAACTCCTGGAGAGCTGCTGCTGGTCAGTGTAGGTAATACTGAGCTAGATGAGCCTTATGGTGGACTTGGTATAAGGCAGCTTCCTAATTTCCTAGTTGTAATAATAATCATAGTAAGTTATTGGAGAGTCTGCCTCTCAAGAAGCATACAGATATTTTATTTTATTTTTTACATTTATATACCACTTTGATCTTCATGGCTGAGAAGGGATTTGAACCCTGGTCTCTGAGGTCATAGCTCGACACTCTAATCATTACATCACACCGGTTGTGCTTAGGTACCCCCCCCCCCAAATAACCCCACACCTATTTTGTCGCTCCTGTAACAAGCACAATTTCCTTCTGGATTCTGTCTCCCAGGTAATCATGCCAGGATACTGTGTGCAAGGAACTGTCGGTCATAAAATCTTGGGCGGTCAGCGGAAGCTGGAAATGGAAGGAAGGCAGATTGTGAGTGGAAATGTTTCGCAGGAGGGACCTTCCGCTGTGGCAGATTGGAGCTGCCCCTCCACTTTAGTTGATTGAAAGGAAAGGGAGGGAGGGAGGGAGGATCTGAAGGGATGTGCAGTAAGAATACATTCTGAGGCTTCCGCCTTCATTCCCTGTACATGTCTTTCTGGCCTCCAGCTGGAAGTGAAGATGCAAGTGGAGTACATGTCCTTCAGTGCCCATGCGGATGCCAAGGGCATCATGCAGCTCATCCGCCAAGCGGAGCCGCGGAACGTCCTCCTGGTCCATGGGGAGGCGAAGAAGATGGAGTTCCTGAAGCAAAAGATTGAGCAGGAATTCCGTACGTAGCCTTCCCAGTGTCTTGTGACTCTTCCCACAGAGGGACCCGGGGCCTTTCCCCATGCTTGTTCCTTCACCTCCCGAGGTTCTCATGTGTTTTCTGAACAGTTCCAGAAAACCATTTCCCCTCTCTGTTGAAAGAAAGAAAGAAAGAACCATCCAGGAAATTGCTCTTTGTTATGGATTCTTTAGGGGGGAAGTGGTGTGCTTTAGATGCATGGCGTGGGCGTGACCTTGGGTTACCTCTCCAGGAATAAGTGAACTCGCAGCAGTTGACCGGCTATGTTTTCTTGCAGATGTGACCTGCCACATGCCTGCCAACGGGGAGACGGTGACAGTTCACACCAACCCCAACATCCCTGTGGACGTTTCACTCGGGCTGCTGAAGAGGGAGCTCACCATAGGTAAAGTCCTGAGTGTACAACTCATCTCAACCATTTTTAAAAAATATTATTTATTAAACATATTTACAAATCTGTACAGCAGGGTTCAGCCCAAGGACCACATGTCCTTCTGGGGCAGGGGCAGGGTAAGAGACACAAGTGGGCCTAGCAGCAGATTTGAACCCTCCCTTTGCGTAGTAGGCTAGCTAAGGTTGCCATGTGTCCTCTTTTTCCAGGACACGTCCTCTTTTTCAGGGGTAATTTTTTTTAAAAAATTTGCTAAAATGTCTCTAGCTATACTTTCTGGATGAGACATAGACATAACTGCTGGTTGAAGACTTGCTTTCCTCTTCTCCTGCCTCCCTCAGCAATATATCACAGCTTCTATAGCCTGCGTATAGTAGGGGTATTTAAAATGAGAGTCGTCATAGCGTCCTCTTTTAGATACACCCTCAAATGCCCTTCTTTATCCCCCATCCTGGCAAAAACAAGAGGGTGCAAAGGTGGGTTTGTGAGGGGTGTGGCCTGGGAGGAGCCCAAAGGCCAGTTAAGAGAGGCCTGGAGGGCTGCATTTGGTCCCTTGGCCCAGAGGTTTCTCATCCCTGCTGTACTGATACTGGGTTGGGGAGATACCTACTTGCACTGCTGTGTGTAGGCCTGATATGTTTTCATGTGGCTGCTGGAAGATGGTTGGGGCCACCACCAAAAGGGCAAAGCCAAAGAAAGCAAAGCCATGCAGGTGATCAAGAGAGCCATTTATCAGCCTGCGTATGTTGGGCTTTCCATGTTGTGGGTCAGATATTTCTATTCCATATACGGTGTTGAGTCAATGTGTGTCTGGCTTGGGGTGGGGACCTTTGGCCCTACCATGTGTTGCTGAACTACTAAGAGCCCTGCTGGATCAGGCCAATGGCCCATCTAGTCCAGCATTCTGTTCTCATAGGGGCCAACCAGATGCCCCAATGGGAAGCTTGCAAGCTGGACATGTGTGCAACACCACTCTCCCCTCCTGCAATTCTTAGCCACTGATATTTGGAGGCATATTGCCTCTGACAATGGAGGTAGAACACAGCCAGTGTGGCTGGTTCCACCAGTGGCCTTGTCCTCTGTGAATTTCCCTAATCCTCTTTTGAAGCCATCCAAGTTGGTGGTCATCGCTGCCTCCTGCTGAAGAGACTTCCATAGTTTAACTATGCCTTGTGTGGACAAGTCTATTAGTGTGCCCTGAATCTTCCGATGTTCCGCTTTGTTGGATGTCTGAGTTCTAGTGCTATGAGGGAGGGAGAAGAACTTCCCTCTTCTGGCCATCTGCTTGCTGGAGCCGGGAGTTGTAGTTCAGCAACATCTGTAGGGCCAAAGTTTCCCCACGCCTCAGCAGATGGGCCCTATCCTGATAGTAAAGGTAAAGGGACCCCTGACCATTAGGTCCAGTCATGACCAACTCTGGGGTTGTGCTGCTCATCTCGCTTTATTGGCCGAGGGAGCAGGCGTACAGCTTCCGGGTCATGTGGCCAGCATGCCTAAGCCACTTCTGGCGAACCAGAGCAGCACACGGAAACGCCGTTTACCTTCCCGCCAGAGCAGTACCTATTTATCTACTTGCACTTTGGCGTGCTTTCAAACTGCTAGGTTGGCAGGAGCAGGGACCGAGCAATGGGAGCTCACCCCATTGCAGGGATTCGAACCGCCGACCTTCTGATCGGCAAGTCCTAGGCTCTGTGGTTTAACCCACAGCGCCACCCGCGTCCTATCATCCTGCTAGTAATCCTAGTGTAATTCAGTTTTACTTGGGTAAGTCCCATGCTGTCATCAGATGTGAAGCTAGTGGACAGAGTGCAAGCATGAAAAATAATCTTGCACTGCATACAACTCCTTTCTACAATGCCACACAGGTCCTCTTCTCAAGTTCCGACACCAACCTGTCCCTCTTTTTTCTGATCCTTGTGGAAGTGCCCAAATTGCTTAGGCTGCCTCCATGTGTGTTGAAGGAGACCATTCCGCTCTGTCCCAGCCTTCCCAGCCAAACTTTTCTCTCTCCTCTTTTGGGTGGTGCTGTATTCAAGATACCCAGAGGACTACAGGCAGTTGGTGTTCTTTCAGAACTCATCTCTAGTCCGTGAGAACCTTATTTTTGAACTACACTACACTAACTTAATTTTTTTAATTGAAATGGCTTCGGTTGTGTGGTGGGATTAGAAAGTGCCAAGCGTCTGGCCTTCCTTGGTGGTGGCATTTGGAGCCATGCCACTAGCAGTGCCCAGCTAGCCCCATGGCACCATCTTCTTTTGCTACCAGCTGTAAATTAAGCTGGTATCGCTGGCTGATTGCAGTAACACCCTGTGACATCTTCTGGGACTAGCAGTTCTTCTGACATTAGAACCCAGGAAGGAAAATGTGACGCTAAAATTGGACCACTGCGGTAAGAGTAAAGTAATTTAGCACCCCTGAGTAACACACGCAGAGGCTTTTGATTGTGGTGTTTGTTTCCTGTTTGCAGAAGGGTGCTGCAGAATGGGTGGCTGTGGTCCCTTTCCTGTCCCTGCAAACAAATGAATGACTGTAGGGCCTGGTGACGTACACGACAAGGAATATCTGGAGGTGGTGGGGGAAAATTGAATGGTTGCTGACTGCCTTCCTCTCTTCTCTTTGTTTCCAATATCCAGGCCCCTTGCCAGACTCCAAGAGGCCAAAGCTCATGCATGGAACCCTGATCATCAAGGACAATGTAAGTGGAGGCAGGTTGGGTGGGCAGAAAGGTCCCCCACCTACCCTGAACTTTGCCTAGTAGTCTCCCTCCATTCTTGGAACCCCTCAATGGTTACGTGGAGGAAAGGCCCTTTTCACATATAGGTTACTACCACATTGCTCTCTTAAGGAGGCTTAGTTGAAATAAGGTTTAAGATGCATTAAAATCAGTAGTGCTTCCACAATTATATGTTTAGGATGGGAGCCTTAATGTGAAATGATGTTTCAGAAGCCTAAAATGTGCCTGCCCTCTTCAATATTTTTATTCTGGTGCTGCCACTGAGAGGTTTCCCTGTTGTGTAGAATTATTCACTGCTGCCACCCCAAATGCAGTACATTGTTAAATCTGTGCCTTGTGCCTCTCTCTAAAAAGTGAGACGAGCCTGCTGGATCAGACTGACGGGCCAGGTAGTTCAGCATGCTGTTCCCTGGCTGCCCAGATGCCTCAGGGGGAAGCCCAAAAGCAGGACCCCTGTATTACATCTCTCCCTTCCTCCTTCTCTGGGCAGAGCTTCCGCCTGGTCTCTCCCGAACAAGCACTCAAAGAGCTGGGCCTGGCAGAGCACCAGCTGAGGTTCACCTGCCGCATCCACTTCCAGGACCCCCGCAAAGAGCATGAGACAGGACTTCGTTTGTACAACCACCTGAAGACGTAGGTACACCAGACTGTGTGCAAAATGGCTTGAAGGGAATGCTTTGGCTCAAGGCCTGCCTTGTGCTTCCTGAAACCTGTCCTTGGAAAGGTGGGAGGTGGGGCCACAAGATAGGGAGGAGCCCTAGTCTGAATAAAAAATGGTTGACTGAGCAGTCACAGAGTTGGCGGTATCTCATTCAGGACCTCATGCTTAGTCTGCCTGAGGCAGCCTGTTCCCTTGCTGAGCAGCCTCTGTCCATTGGGCAGTTTTTCCTTCACTGCTGAGCCAAAATCTTGCTTCCTTGCCATTTTCATTATTTGTTCTAGTCCTGTCTTTGGATTAGGAACAGAGAATTCGGACCTCACAGCTAGGAATGTTGGAATTCTTATCCTCGAGGGACTGTGTAATCTGAACATGCATTATTCATAATGCATTTTGGTTTTGTTAGTTAAGAGGAGAGCAAGCACTTACTGAGAGTACTGAATATTACCAGCCCCCAGCAAAAAAAGAAAAGAAAAACTATGCCTTATTTGTCTATGTTTGCTGCTGAGCACAGTTTCGTATACATCTTCCCAGCCTTGCAGATTAGGAGCTTGTTTTCTTTGGCAGAAAGGTGAAAACTCGCATTCCCAAAATTCTGCACTCAGTACTGTAATCTGTGCAATGTACCAAGGTTGTAGATTAGTGCAGACATGCTGCTTTGATCTTAGTTTCTAACACGCTTATTAAAAAATAATAATCAACTAGTTAAGTTACTAATTCTCATTGTTTGTACAGAAGAGGTTACCAAATAATTCTAGGCTATTTGAAAGGTTAAGTAATATTTTGCCCCCAAAATTGTTAGACCAATCACAAAATGCATTTTAGGATCTGTTTTCCTAGCTGCCAGCTGTCCCAACAGAGGAAAGGAAGCTGCTTGTGGTGATATACAACATGCTATTGTTGTCATTCTCCCCCCCTCCCCCAGTTTCCTGAAGGACTATTCTGTTCAACACCTCTCTGACACCTCCATAATGGTCGAGTCCATCCTGATCCAGGTTACAGTGCAATCAGAAGATCCTGCAACTAAACTTCTGCTGGTGTCGTGGACGTATCAGGTGAGGTTTCTTTTTTACACATGTTATCACACTCCTGGCTTTCAGAGTCCCTTGCCCCTTAGCAAGGGGCTATAGCAGACCCAGAGGCCCTTCAGATGTTGATGAACCCCAACAGCCACAGTAAGTGTGGCTAATGGCCAAAGGGATGAAGGGAGTTGCAGTAAACAGCATCTTGAGAGCACCCCTTTGGCTATCCCTGCACGCTGCAGCTTTGTAAACAGAAGCTTTCCAGGCCCAGAGGTGTTGACAGACCCTCCCCGAATTTCCTTAAGCCCATCTAAACCAAATGGTTCTGCAACACAGCTGGAGGAATGCAGCAAGTTATAGCGGGGCAGTATTTTTAATTTAAGGCAAGCGGGCTTCTAGGGCTGGGCGACGGCAGGTTTCTAACATTGTGATGTATCACCAGCTGAAGACTGCAATCTGGCGATACACTGCAGTGTTGGAATGGAGGAAGGAGCAAGCTGCATTAGCCCTGGCCCTGTGAGGTGCAGGGTGAAACCACCGCTGCTCTTGCTGAGCAGGCTGAGGCAGTTTCACCCCAGCACCTCATGGGGCCAGGAACAAGGCAGTTTGCTTCTCCCTCCGTTAAACTCCTCCGCCAAGGTGTGTACGCCCCTCAGCAGAGTAGGCCTGGGTGATACATCACTGAGGACCAGTATGAGGGACCAACAGCAATGGCAGTTTCACTAGTGATATACCGCCAAGTGAAACCACCATCCCACTCTGCCCTCATAGATGCAGAGAGAGAAACAAGCTTCATCGGCAAAGTGTGATACAGCATGTTCCTCCCTCTGCTTCTTTAAACTGCTTGGCTGAGGAGTGTGCCACTCGCCTCAGCCAAGCAATTTCAACCAAGCCTGTCTTGTACGCAAGCAGGAGTGGGATCGCGGCTGGGGAGGTGCAGGCTCCATTATTCTCCATTGAGGGGTGCATGGCTGTGCACCCCTCAACGGAGAAGTTTAAAGGCGCCTGCATCTGCCGCATGGGGGCTCCTTCCTTCCACCCCACAAGGAAAAAGGCTGTGTGTTTGGCTGCCGCCACCTGGTTCATGGGGGATAGGAGGAGCCACCCATCCCCCACGCCTGCAGAGGGAGCCTCAAGATCCCTGCCAACATTTGGGCTTGCTCAGCTGGGGGACAGGAGCTTTTTTGCCCCCCAGCTAAGCAGCAGGCTCAGACCAGCTGCATTGGCCCTGGCCTGCAAAGGTGAAAGTTAAGCAGTTTCACTCCGGCAGGGGGCAATACAGCTTGTTTCAACATTGTGGTTTATTGCCAACCATGGTGATACATCATAATGTTGAAAACCTGTCGCCCAGCCCCTCCAGCAGAGCAGCAGGTCTCCTTAAACCACCTGCCTCTCAAGGCAATTTGAGCTGGCAATACATTGCAGCTCCCCAGCCATTGCCAGCACAGGGCACCTCACTCCCATCTGCCTGCAAGCAGACACTAGTGAGCTGCATTGTGCTGGGAGCTGTGATGTATCACCAGCTCAAAAAGTCTGAAACTGGTACCGTGGTGTGAATGTACAGCCTTAGCTTCTACTAATATTTCCTCCCAAAAAATATGGATTTTGGTTGCAGGATGAAGAAATGGGTAGCTACGTGACCTCCCTGCTGAAGAAGGCGCTGCCTCAAATCACGGCATGAGTCTCCAGGAGCTAAAACCCTGGAACATGTAAAGAACAATGTAAATACTTAAGTTTGTGTGTGTTTTTAACAAATTAAAACGCAAGGAGTTTTAGTATTTAATATTAGTGGCCTTTATTGTCACAGGTGGCATCTGCAGTAACAACTCTAAGTAGCAGGCTTTTTAAAAAAAATACGAAAATAGGTAGTAGTCCCTTCACAGTGAATGCCAACAGGGTGTGTGTTTTTTTTCTAAAGGAGGCCAGTGTCATCTCACCTGGGCGATACCTGGTTTTCAACATCGTGATACATCAGCAGCTAAAGACCACGATATGCTGATAAACCACAATGTCTGGAATGTATCTCAGCTATTTCTTCCTCCCCACCTTAGGGAAGGAAGAAGCAGCCAAGATACATGTCCTGGCAGGGGCTTTCTTAAACGGCTCAGCTGGGTGGGGGGACCTGGATGTCTCTCCAATGCACAAGCAGGAGAAGCATCGGCACTTATTCATCTGGGTGATGGGGGGGCTTCTCCTCCAAGCTGAGTAGTTCAAGGAAGCCGCAATGCAAAAGCTCCTGCAAGCTGCTGCTTTCCTCCCAGGGCAGTCATTGCTCCAGGAGGAAAGAGGCATCCTGCCCACTCAGGTGAAGGCAATTTGAGTTGCCAATACATAATAGCTCCCCAGCTAACACCAGGACAGCACAAGGAAGTGAGGAGCACTGAGCTGGCAGCAGCCGGGGAGCCCTGATGTATTGGCAACTCAAAAAGTCTGACACCGGTATTACGATGTGAATGCCATACTGGTCTCAGATAATGAATCACACAGCATCGTCCAGGCTACTCACCTTCGGATTCATTTCTGTGAGCTCTTGCCTTATTGATGGGAAAGGGAGTGCCGTTTGATGGTAGAGCACCTGCTTCACAGGCAGAGAAGGCAGCGTCTTCTGTCACAGGCATCTCCCACTTTAAGGAGAAAGGATCAGGGGCACCATAGCAGTCTGCCCAGTCAGGCCAGTGCCCATCAGAGCCTGGCAGTCTGTTCTCACAGTGGCCAACTAGCTGCCTTTTCTGAGAAGCCCACAAGAAGGATTCAAAGACTATGGAGGAAGATGTTCTCAGGCAGGTGGGGGCTGGCTGAGAGAAAACTGAGCTGTGTGTGTCAGTTCCTCATTTCAACCTAATGGATCAGCCTTCACCAGTTTTATGTCTGGTCTATATTAAAAAAACGGAAGTGGGTACATATGCCCATCTTCAGAAGCAAACACACCCAACTCCAAGCCCTGTCCATCCAAAGGAAGCGTAAAAAGTGTGTCTTTTTCATTTTGCAAAACTATGGTGGAGGAGCAAGATGGGTGTGGGGGCACTTTGGCCCTCCAGATATTGCCAAACTCCACCTCTCCTGCCCATCCCTGCTCCCTTGGGCAGGGCTTGCTAGGACTGCTGGGAGGTGCAGTTGAGCAACAGCCAGGGTGGGGGGTGGCACAGGATTCCCGTTCTAAGGCAAGACTTACTCAGCTGCAGCCAAAGCAGCCTGGCCTTTGCAATTTTAGTCAACATTGCCAACCCACTTGGAAGCATATCACAGCCGAAAGGACTAGAAATGTACCTTTTTGAAAATATAAAATCATGGGGCATGTATTCTGCATCTGGTATCACATTATGTGCTCCTGCAGAAACACGGCATTACTAATAATCTCTCTCAGGGGTCTTGGGTGGGTGGCAGAAAGAGAAAATCTAGGTGGCCACTGGGGAAATGTGGTCCCTCCACCCTGCTGCAGCCCCTTTCAAAAATCTTAAGGATACATAACACTAACCCCTCCTGCACAAAGCCCTCTACAGTTCAGTTACAAGTTCCTTGGGTTTCTCACCGATATCATCTGAACTTGCTGCCTCCTTTCCCCCCGCCTTGGTCCGGCAATGCGTAGGTTGGTGGGTGCGCAAGCGTTGCCTTGCCGACCACAGATGGTGTAGACTTTTGTGGCCCTGGTCCTGAAGGGAAGTCTCCAGCGGCACCGCCTGCTGGCTGAGGTGAAGTAGTACAAGATGGGGTTCAGGCAGCAGTTGAAGCTGACCGAGGCCAGAGTGATGCGGCGCATCCTGTATATGACAAGGGCAAAGCGGCACTCCCGGATCAGCCCAGCCCGCATGAGGAAGTGCAGCAGGTGGGTGAGGTGGTATGGGAGGAAGCAGGTGGTGCAGATGAAGAGGATGAGGTAGATGGTGCCCAGGGCCTTCCTCTTGCGGGCGCTGCGGGGGATGCGAGAGATGCGCCGGGCGATCAGAGGGTAGCTGATCAGGATGACCCCGAAAGGGACCACAAAGCCAAATATCAGCGCGCAGACGTTGTAGGGCATCATGCGCCCGGTCCACTCCTCCAGCCCAAAACTCTCAAAGCAGACGGTCGTGTTGCTCCGGTTGAAGTTGAGGGGCCCCCCGAGGACCAGCGGGGCGGCGATGCTCACTGCCGTCACCCAGAGGACCGCAGCCACCAGCCCGTAGTGGGCGCCCTTGATCCGGATGTACACAAAAGGGTGCAAAACGGCCACGTAGCGGTCAAGGCAGATGCAGGTGAAGAAGGCGATGCTGAGGTAGATGTTGAGGAAGTACATGCTCCCTGTCAGCCGGCAGGCAATGTCCCCAAAGATCCAGTTGTTCCGGTTGAGGTGATAATGGATCTTGAAAGGCAGGACGCAGACAAACAGGGTGTCCACCACGGCTAAGTTGACCAGGTAGACGTAGGAGCGAGGCATGCTGATTGCCTGGCAGGTCAGGAGGTGCAGGGCGGCCCCATTCCCCAGGAGGCCCAGGACAAAGACCGTACTGTAGACAATCGTGAAGAAGGAATACTGAAAGTCTGCTTGGAAGACGCACTCTACCAAACTGGCGTTGACAACGGTCTCATCAACGATAGTTGTGTTGTCCATCTCTCTCTCTTTTTGAGCTGTGGAAGTGTCTCCTCTTTTCCTAGAGATCAGCGGTCACTTTGCCTTCACATTTCCCAAGGTGGTACGCGATTCAAAGTCAGAGCCTTGGGTCTTTAGCGGGCAGCTGGAGTTAAGGAGGTCTTCGTGGTAGGCTAAAGAGGTGCAAGCTTTTTGCCTGTGAGCAGAGCTGGCCCAGCGAAGAGCAAAACTGTTAAAGCAGAAAGAGAAGAATGTTAAGACGTTATCAAGAGGGCCGCAACTTTGCATCAAACTAAGCATCAAGCTAAGCTGCTTGGGCTCTGCTGCAATCTCAGTTTTACAGAATAAGAATGTAAGGAGAGGTTGATCAGGCCAAAAGCCCACTTAGTCCAGCACCCTGCTCTCACAGAGGCCAACCAGATGCCTCTGGGAAGCCTGCAAACAGGAACTGAGCACAACTCTCCACTCCTGTAGTTTGCAGCAGCTGTCACTCCTCCATTAGTGGAGGTACAATGCAGCCATTGTGAATGATAGCCTTTGATTGCCTTCTCCACCACGAACCTATCATTACACAGCTGAATGCAGTCGTAAGCTGAAGACTGCTAGATGGACCCCTCGGTCTGATCAGTCTGGGGCCATGCTGATCATTTCTTCTAGTTCTGGCATTCAGTGGGTGAGTGACGCTCTTAAACCTGGACAAAACAGCCTCACCCATAAGGGGAGCTATCAGCAGGCATGTGGGGGCCTCAAGATTAGACCACCAAGGAAGGGGACAAGATCCTAAGGGGCAAAGTGGTGTAGCGCCTGCCCTGTATGCAGAAAGTCCCAGGCTCAAACCCCAACAGCATCTCCAAGTAGGGCTGGGGAAAATTCCCTGCATGAAACCCTTGAGAGCTGCTGCCACTGAGCCAGCTGGACCCATGGTCTGACTGCATATGGCAGCTTCCTATCTTCCTAACTCCCCAAACTCTTGAATCAGGACTGAAGATGCTCAAAAGCTACAGAATGTTGACTGGGTGGGGTTGGGGTTTTTTTGAGAGGTGATGGAACAGAGGGACTGCAAACCTGAACATAGAATCAGAGAACTGTAGAGTTCTATGAATCACAGCTTCAGAATCCCTTGCAGAGGGTCATCAAACCTGCATTTAAAAAACTCCAAGGAAGAAGAGCTCACCACATCTATGGAGAGTCCACCCTTGTGTCATTCTAATGAAGTCCGACTTGCATTTCATTAATGCATCACCATCTCTATCCACCTGCTTTATAAAGCAACCCATCAAGTGGGTGAAGGGTGTGTGTGACAACTTACCAGTCTGTGTTATCCTGGGCTGCCAGTCTTCAGCTGTTGTACCACCAAGGACTGTTTCCTCTCTGAAGGCTTCTACTACCGCCACACCTCCTCTTGAACCTCAGATGGAGAGGAGCAGTCGGCACCTCCGCATTTTTGCAAAGGTGAAGAGAAAAATAAAGTTCCTCCCACACTCTGTTTCTTCTTGAAAAGTCACAGGAAGTGGAGAGCAGAGTCAAAAGCAACCTGCAAGCACAGCCAGCGGTGTGGGCACTGGCCCCCTCCAAAGGCACAGCGGTGCCTGTTCAGATTAGGGCACCTCGGTCAAAGCTGCTGGGCTGAATGTAGCTCCCTTAGATCTCGGCTGGGGCCTGCCAGGCGTTTAAAAACAAATATACCCACAACGTAACTGGCTGTGTTTAACTATATAAATTCTTTATACATCATATAAACATAACTCTTTTCACATTATCTAGTTGAGTAGAAGCAGTTAAGGACCAACATTTAGAACAGGAAATACAAATAGATCAGTTCTTATATACGTAATGTCCAAATAGAAGCTTTTGTGTTCCACGTATGTACAAATGAATCAGTGGTTGTATAAAGAATCTATAGAGTTAAACACAGCCAGTTACATTGTGGGTATATTTGTTAGTTGAATTTACATAACTATCAGTTTGATAGTGTTGTGTAAGGCATTTTAAAACAAGCGCACACACACTTTCCAATCAGTTTTGCAGTGCTCAGCCGGGAACCCAAAACTGAGATTGACTAAGCCCATGGTGGGCTATTAGTAGGTCACCAGCAGGTTGCGTTTGGGTCAATAGGCCACCCATTGTGCAAGCCAGGAATCGGGACCGCAGATAACACAAACTGCTAGTGCTGAGTTTCTAACTGGAAGCTTCACCTTATCTAGTTTATCTAACTTAAAATATTACTAAGATTATCCATCATAGCTGAACTAATTTGGCAATCTCTTCTCCCCCAATCTTCTCTAGACAAATGATGATCAGGAAATGTGGTCCACAAAACAGGATATAAAAAACAATTTCTGCAAGATGCTAACAGTAGCTGCTTATTTTGAACAATCAAAATCAACATATAGCCCTTTTATGTGGCACCCACATGACTTCACGCATGCTATCTTGCTGTAATCCTCATAATGGCTCTCTAAGCTAGGCCAGTAAGGATCACATCAGTTCTGCAGATGAGGCACAAAAAGCTTTGAAGTGAATGACTGCCAAAAAGGACCCCCTAGGGCCTAGTGAGTTCCTGGCAGAGGCAGAGCTTAACCCCGAAACTGAAGCCACTCTGCTGCATCAAGACCTCACTGGCCAGGCAAGGCCCAGTCCGCCTCCTGTTACCAAGACAGCCCTGTCCTGTGTTTCCAAGCTTATCACTAGGGACTAGTGTGTTGTTCTAAAAGAATTAAGCAGAGATTCTCAGGATGCCACGTTCTGTCTTACACAGCATAAAACAGCCTGAGGTTCCAGTTCAAGAGCTTTGGGTTGAAATCCTGGTTCAAATGTAATTGCACCCTAAGCACACCCCCACCCCAAATGTCTGGATATAGTTTGTTTTGCAGGGATGGGATACTGAAGAATGTTCCACGTATGTATGTGAATAGGTTTAAAGACATGTGGCCACATAACAGGAAAGAGGGTGCTCTCCTCCCCTGACCTCTCTCTGTTCCAGTCATGGGGAGTTCAATTAGGCTGCCATTCCGATTCTGCTTCGCTGATCTCCAAGTCTGCAAAGAGAAGAAGAGGGGAAAGACAGGCCTAAAGTCCGGTGTAACTTGGTAGCACTGGGCAGAGTCCACAGTTCGAATCTCAGCTCTGCCACGAACTTGCTTGATAGCCTTAGGCAAGCCTCCAGCCTCCCTTCTGCAGCTTGAGAGATGAGGATACAGTGGTGCCTCGCAAGACGAAAAGAATCCGTTCTGCGATTCTCTTCGCCTAGCGGTTTTTTCGTCTTGCGAAGCAACTCTATTAGCGGCTAAGCGGATTAGCGCTATTAGCAGTTTAGCGGCTTAGCGGCTATTAAAGGATTAGCGGCTAAGCTGCTAAAAGGCTATTAGCGGCTTAGCGGTTATTAAAGGATTAGCGGCTAAGCTGCTAAAAGGCTATTAGCGGCTTAGCGGCTTAGAAAAAGGGGGGGGAGCGGGGAAAAAATCGCAAGACTAGCAAGACGTTTCGTCTTACGAAGCAAGCCCATAGGGAAAATCGTCTTGCAAAGCAACTCAAAAATGGAAAACCCTTTCGTCTAGCGGGTTTTCCGTCTTGCGAGGCATTCGTCTTGCGGGGCACCACTGTACTGACCTTCCTTACCGGATTGTTGTAGAAACTTATTACAACTAGATGCCCAGGAAGAGGTTCAAAGTTCTATACAAATGCACCCTGTTTGCAAATCACAACCAATCTTCAAGCGTATTTTCCCACCAGCTTTGTTTTCAAAACAGCGACAAAAGAAGCAGAGCTCCAGTTCTCAGAGTGGCTTAATTCTCCACAGGGAACTCTGGGAATTCTTAGGAGACCCCCTACACCCCCCCCCCCGATGAGCTACATCTCTTCAGTACCCTTAACAAACTAGTTTCCAGGATTCTTTGGGGAAGCCAGGACTGTTTGAAGCAGTATGATCTAAACAAATAAAAAAGAATCCAAACATCTTCTAAAAATGAGTTTGGCTCTGCTTTAAATGTATAGTGCAGCTGGGGTCAAAGAGAGAAAGGAAGATTCCCTCTACCCATGTTTTCCACACAATGCAGACATTTTTAATCACTCTTCAACATTTCCTTCTTTTCTCCTAAGTTCAAAATCTTGAAATGCTTTAGCAACTGGCATTCAGAAGTACTGCCACCTCCAACTGATGATTTGGTCCCCCCTCCCCAGCTTCACAATACCCCTTCTGAGATATGGAGACTGAAGCTTCCTTATATACCAGGTGAAACAAAGTTTCCATATAATCTAATGACAGGCAGCCGCTCTCCAGGGTCTCGGGCAGAGAGGTCTCTCTCCTCTGCAACCTGATCCTTTTTAATGGGAGATTTTTATTTCATGTAAGAGGATCTCTGCCCCACGTCCTTCAAATGCAGGCACATTGCAGCTTGGGATAATTAAAATCCAATTCATCACCCTGACACCACAACAGAGAACAAAAACAGTTTGGATTTTCCACCTTGCACACCAACAGATATTTGGCTGGCATGGCTTAAATGCCTGCCTGAAACTCCCCTGTAGATCCTGCCTATGTCTCTTGGGGGGGGGGGCTGACAGTTTTAAGGGGGGGTGTTACTGAAAGCAAGACATCCAATAGCCTATTGACTTTGCCGTGTTAATTCACACCACAGAACCTTCGGAACACAAAGAATTCCTCATAAAAATCCCAACTTTTAAGAATTCCTTGCACCCTACAAACACCAGTTCTCCAACAAAGTGGGGTGATAAACAGCACCACAGGACCTACGTCTTGGCTGAGGCGCTCTATCTGCCCCTGAGCTGGACCCCTTCAGACAGGGGCAACCTGATGGTTGTGTGATGCACGCTCGGTTTTCGATGCATCTGCCTTTAGACAAGGCTGCAATGGGTCTGGGATGCTGAGGGTTAAGCCTGGGACCTTCTGCAGGCAAGGCTACTAAGCTAAGCACCCCCCTCCTGCGCCCCAGAAGCAAGTGGGGGTTCCCAGACTAACCAGCTTCGCAGTACTCCACATCTTTGAGGAAGAGTCCATCGGGCGGCGCAATGGTGTTATCGGGGTAAGCCATCAGGTCCCTGATCTCCAAAAGCCTTTGCACGTGATGAGGTTCGAGGCGGCCCTGGCCGACGGCCACCAAGACGCCAACCATTCTCCGCACCTGGCAAGGGAAGGAAGGGGAGGGTCAAAAATCAATGCGGCGTCAGACGAGTCCCACAATCCGTACCCATTAGGGCAAATCCAGGGGCTGCATCCCTTCTAAGTCAAGTCAACCCAATAGGGTGAATCTATTGTTAGTCCTTGTCCAAGTACAGTGGTACCTCGGGTTACAAATGCTTCAGGTTACAAACTCCGCTAACCCGGAAGTAGTTGCTCCGGGTTCTGAACTTTGCCCCAGGATGAGAATGGAAATCGTGGGCCAGTGACACGACGGCAGCGGGAGGCCCCATTAGCTAAAGTGGTACCTCAAGTTAAGAATGGACCTCCGGAACGAATTAAGTTCGTAACCTGATGTACCACTGTAGAGCTGTTTAAATCAATGGGCTTAAGATAGTTGTGTCCATTCACTTCCATGGGTCTGATGCGGGGTTATATCCAACATTAGACCTGATCGGAGTTGCTAGACCCATTCAATTGTTTGTTCATTCAAAAGATTTCAGGGCAGTTCACAGAATAAAATACAAGATAAAACACAGAAAATAATTGCAACCAAAAGAACAGAACAATAACACACATGACCTTCTCACAGTTATATTTAAAGGGCTGTAGGATATTAATCAGTAAAAGCCATGGAAGTGAATGGGCATGAACAGCCAATGGAACGCTGTGCAAATGGAATGTGTATTTTATTGACTTACACAATTAAGACCTTTTTTTTTTTTTTTGGCCAAGTTCTCGATTTCTTAGGATCCCCCGTCGAATAATGACAAACCTCTAAGCCACCAGAGACACCATGGGACTCTAGTTCCCATCAATCCAAGCCAAGAGCCAGGGGTGATGGGAGTTGCAGACCAGCACCATTGGGAAGGCTGTAGGCTCCCCATCTCCCCAATAAATAAATAAAAACTTCACGAATGGCGGTGGTAAGACAACAAACATTAAAACAAATATTGACATTGTCCCATTGGATGAAAGAAGAAAATAAGCTTCTGACAATTAAGAGAGCTAGACGACACCAAACCAGATGCCTCCATTGGTTCTAGCTTGCCAGTTCTAAATAAGCTTGGGAGCAGTTTTCTGCATTTGTCTCTCTAGTCTAGGAGGGGTCAGATTCAAGGCAGGGGGTTAAACAATACCTCTGGGGTAGAATCTGCCCTGAGCAGCCACTGCCAAGGACAGGAAACAGTCACAGACATTGCTTCCAGGGGCTGCTTGTGGGCTTTAATGCCTTTTACAGTTCTTTTTTTTTTTTTATAAAATTTTTATTGGTTTTACAAAATTTTTAAGAAAAACAAACAAACACTAAAAATAACAAACATACACGTATAGTTTCAAACTTATTTTCATAAACCTCTTTCCTTGGACTTCCCCATACCCCCCCTCTCTGCATCCCAATGTCCATAATTCAACTAGCAACTCCCAATTGTTACTTTCCAGTCTCTATCATCTTAGTCCTCTTTTATATTTCTAGCCTTATGTCCCTGTACCCCTTTGTTTCTGGAAACCACAACATTTTAGCATTCATTAAGTTTATAGTAGTCCTTAAGATAACTTTTAAATTTTCTCCATTCTTCTTCCACCGTCTCTTTTCGTTGGTCACGGATTCTGCCTGTCATCTCGGCCAATGTCATATAGTCCATCACTTTCATCTGCCATTCTTCCAGAGTGGGTAGATCTTGTGTCTTCCAATACTTTGCGATGAGTATTCTTGCTGCTGTTGTGGCGTACATGAAGAAAGTTCTATCCCTCTTTGTCACCAATTGGCCGACAATGCCCAAGAGAAAGGCCTCTGGTTTTTTAGGAAAGGTACATTTGAGTACCTTTTTGATTTCATTATAGATCATTTCCCAGAAGGCCTTAATCTTCGGGCATGTCCACCAAAGGTGGTAGAAGGTACCTTCAGTCTCTTTACACTTCCAACATTTGTTATCGGGCAGATGATAGATTTTTGCCAGCTTGACTGGGGTCATGTACCACCTGTAAATCATTTTCATTATGTTTTCTCTTAAGGCATTACATGCCGTAAACTTAACACCGGTGGTCCATAACTGTTCCCAGTCAGCAAACATAATATCATGACCAATATCTTGTGCCCATTTAATCATAGCTGATTTCACCGTTTCATCCTGTGTATTCCATTTCAACAACAAGTTATACATTCTTGATAGATTCTTAGTATTGGGTTCTAGCAGTTCAATCTCTAGTTTTGATTTTTCCACCTGAAAGCCAATTTTCCTGTCCTGTTTGAAAAGCTCCATTACTTGATAGTATTGAAGCCAGTTTTGTACTTTATGTTTCAATTTGTCATAGCTTTGTAATTTCCACTTATCTCCATCCTGTTCCAAAATTTCCCAATACTTCGGCCATCCGACCTCCATATTGAGTTTCTTTACTGCTTTAGCCTCGACTGGTGACACCCATCTAGGGGTTTTGTTTTCCAACAGATCTTTATATCTCATCCATACATTAAACAATGCTTTTCTAACAATGTGGTTTTTAAAGGCACTATGCTGCTTAATTTTGTCATACCATAGATATGCATGCCAACCAAAAACATTATTAAAACCTTCCAGATCCAAGATGTCTGTGTTCTCGAGGAGCATCCATTCCTTCAGCCAGCAGAAAGCTGCTGCCTCATAGTACAATTTTAAGTCCGGCAGGGCAAACCCCCCTCTTTCTTTAGCATCTGTCAATATTTTAAATTTAATTCTGGGCTTTTTGCCCTGCCAGACAAATTTCGAAATATCTTTCTGCCACCTCTTGAAACATTCCATCTTGTCAAGAATCTGCAAGGTCTGAAACAGAAATAACATTCTAGGCAATACATTCATTTTAATCACTGCAATTCGGCCTAACA